CCCCAAAACCCCAAAACCCCAAAACCCCAAAACCCCGAGATTGTTATTTTACTAATCAAATTATATTATTTTGATATAAAGTTGGCTGATGAAGAGTGTACACGAAGAAAAGAAGACATCATCTCCTGATAAAGCCCCGAATGCCCCATGACTAAAGTAATGCTCAATGATATTACCCGATGATGTATTTGTATAATAAAAGCTCTAAAGAATATTTCAAAATTTGTGGTAATTCTTAATCCTTACTATAATTTCTATTGATGGGGTTGACATACTCCCGTGAAATTTTAGGAATATATTTTGATTTGCAATGATTTGGAATTTTTCGAAAATTTTAGATATCCAATGTTATTGCTATGTAAACGCAAGAATTGGAGAAAATATTGATAATATTCGCCATTTCAATTATTTTAATACTTAACATACTTACCTATAAATTACCCTCTTTTCTACTTAACTCACTTTCTACCAGAATAATCAATCCTTTGTATTGATGGTAATTTTTAGCTTTATGAGCTTTCCTAAGAACCTATAATACGGTTTTGTCACTGGTTGCTTCTAATTCAACATATAATATCACTTGAACTGTTTAAGGGTTTTTATGATAGTTTACTCTTTAAAGATAGGATCTATTCTTATTTTTACCAACTAATAACTTAATATAAACCTGTATAGAGGAAGAAAAATAAACTTAAGAAAGACAAAAAGTAAATTTATCACAACAACTTTAGACAATGTTCCCAAATTCTACTCAAGCAGCACAAAAAGCTGAGGTATGTACATTCTCTGATCGTCTTTAGGCTCTATTACGACCGAAGCAAGCCTGGCACAAGCATTTGAGTACGAATTCTTAACCCAATACGATCTTGAAACTAGCTCCTATGGGAGTGCTAAAATGATTCAAGAAATCTCAAACGAAGACCTGAGCTCCATTGAGAATCAGTCTGAAAAATCTGTCAGTGGTGCTATCCCTGATGACTATCAGGCATACATTGGTAGGAAAGTAAGTAGTAGTAAAATAATCGGAACAATAATGATGACCCCAGACAAAAAGACGTCTCATTCAACAAAATGAATGCCCATCTTGAACACATTGTTTGCCTCTTCTAAAGAGGAATAAAGTCCAGTATAATCTTTATAATCTGTTTACAGTATCCTTAGTGTTGACTCTTAACCATGGCCCGGGGTCTATGTGTTTTTTGATCTAATTTTCGTTCCTAACAATGCTGCTCATTCCTTTTGAGACCTGAGAGACATGATCTTGCTCCTAGAATTTGCCATGTATTTCCACCCTTTTCTTAAGGGTTATATTTCGTCAAAATAATGACTGCACGATTTGGAACACTCATTTTAGGCTACAGATAGCTCGATTCTATTTACCTATTTCAGATTGGGGTTTTGGGGTTTTGGGGTTTTGGGGTTTTGGGG